GGGAGCCGTTAGGTGAGAGTTCTTCGATTATCCGAAGTCTCCCCTCCCTCCCCCCGGTCGACGTTATAGGGAGCTGAGTGTCTGGCACTACCACCTTCACTTTTGGCCGGCCAGTGGTAACTGGAACCACTTCACTATTGGGGGGCCGGGCTCCACCTATCGCACCTCTGATTACGACCCCTCAATCTCTAATTCCCCAATACGTCTCCCACTCAGATAATCGCGGGGGGCAAGCGGGCACCGGAAAAATAGATTGCTGATTTCTCGCACCCCGCTCGTGGATTTTTTGCAAAGCAATCGGGACTTTTCGGAAGACCGCTCGCTGAGTCAGCGGATTTTTGAGAGACCGCCTGTTGAATTTTTTTCGCTCTTATTTTTTGCAGATATATTGCTGAATCTCTGAGGAATCGAGAATTCAGCAAGCGGTCTTCCGAAAAGTCCTGACTGCTTTGCAAAAAATCCGCGAGCGGGGTGCGAGAGATCAGCAAACTATTTTTCCGGTGCCTGCCTGCCCCCGGCGATTATCTGAGCAGGTGCACCGTGCCACACTTCACGCTTACCTTGCTTACAACCCAATATCCCCTTTACACCCTGGAAATCTACATCTCTTTTTTGTTCCTTCTTGAGCTCCTGATTTTCGAAAGGTTAGAGAGGGAATGTTGACGCAAGATCACACGAATATTATTCGATAGTCGAATATTCAATGGTCATTAATTCGATTATTTGATGTCCATCGAATATTCGAATATTCGATGAGCACCGAATATTCGAAGAATCGATAAGCATCGAATGTTCGGAAATTCGATATCCTTAACATATATGGGTGTCCCAAGAGTACCCACACACTGTTTGTTTGCTAATACAGTCTGCCCCAATCTCAACCAGGCCAAAACTGGCATGGCGGGAGTCCGCGTCGCTAGGGTTTCGCGGTCACGCCCACTTGCTGCTTCTCTGCTCTCTCTCCCATCCTTTTGCTCTCTCCGACAGCGCGCATATGCAGCGCAGACGGCTAGCGCTGCGAGCACGCAAATTCACGCCGACGATTTGGCCTGATCCCGATTGGAGCAGACTATACCTCTCACGAAATCTTTTGCCAAACTTTGGGTAACATCCTGCAGAAATGGCTCCAGCTTACAAATATATCAGAAGACGAATCACACGCGCTGTTCTTATTATGTTTTCACGGTAGGATCTTCCAGCATATAGAGCAACTGCGAAATAAGACATCCAAAAAATTTGCTCGAAAAATTTGAAATCCTACAACGCAAAGTTTTCAAGCTTTTCAAATGTGCAATCACATTTTTAAGAAGCCCTGAAAAACATTTGTTTAGGTGTAAAAAAGGGTGCGGAAAAAGTACTGTCCCTCAAAAAAGGCAAAAAAATTGGCGTAATTTCCAGGTTTTTCTGGTGAATTTGACGTAAATTCTAAGATGTGAATGTAATCAAGCATTTTACAACAACTGGCTCAGAAATTCTGCAATTTCACCCGGCGGCGGATCCCCTTTCGCCGCCGGGTGAAATTGACCCCACATCAAATCTTGCAACTTCTTTTACAAATGTAAAGGAAGTATGAAGTTTTCTGGAAAATGCTTTTGTTTCCAACGTGGATTTGAGAAACCTTCTACTGCTTAAGGGATGTTGTAGTGTCTTCGAAATATGCTGGGAGTAGCCAGGCCGCAGTTGCAAGAAAAGTTGGAAAATTTTCCAACGAAATAGCGTCTGCGGCGCAACAAGGTGCAACCAGAAAATGTGGCACTGAAACTAGATACAATCATTTGGTGCCTTAAAATTATGATGTAGACAAAGCCCGATCTTCTTTTCATCAGTCCCCTTACCGTTTGAATCTGGAGTTTCGGACTTTAGTTTGGATCCAATTCATTGAGCGAGAGCAGATCTGATTAGCCTTCTTTTGTGAAATTTTGGAAGTCGCTTGGGATATAATTTTCCTTGTTTAGTCAAAATTTAAAGTCGCTGATTCATTATAAGTATAGGATTTTGGAGACAAGAGTCTGCTCTACATATCACTTTGATTTGAAACTGATATAACCCTTGGTCGTATAGTTATGGTCCAAGATCGCCCTCAAACGCTGCGGCGCGTCCTCGATGATGCTGCTTGTATCACTCGTTTGAAAAAAGAGAAGGGAACCGTTCCAAATCAGACTCATCTTAGTCGGATCTACAAAGTCTTGCCTACATGTGGATATCTAAAAACTATAGATTTTCTCCATCTGTGAGATTTTTCAGGAGGCAAACTGAGGGACAGTACTTTTTCCGCACCCTATAACAGGCATAAGTTGTAAAAAAAGGCCTTAAGGTTAAGCACCGTCCACCCAAAGTGGAGGTTGGCGAGATTATGATGGCATACTAGAGTGGCCCCCCCCCCACTAGGCAAACCCCCAAGCTTCGCTGCAAAACACTGCTTCTGGAGCGAGAAATCCGCTCCTGAAGTAGCAAAGTAGGCGGGGCGGCCATGGTCGCCCCGCCCACTTGCATGCTTTATCTCGCCTGCGCTTGTTGCAGAGGGTTCTCGAAACAGGGATTTTTGGGGGAAATTCGACTCCATATTCGGAATCAGGGCTTTCAGAAGGCCTGAAGGCGACAAAAACGTTGAATTCGAGATTTTGGGTGGATGGTGCCTTTAAGTGCAAATTCCATATATAGTGAATCTCTTTAAAAGTTGTGAGACTTTTGGCCTTTTTGGCTCCCTTTCTTGGGCAAACAGGTCTCGATATCTCGAACCCCTATCCGATTTTACTACGGTAATTTTACAACAGTGAAAAGTGATCGATGAATCGCTCCATACTGTAAGTCTAAGTTTATGTTCGCCCACAGATGGCATATTTCGGGACGCTATATCAATTCACAACTCTCAATAAGGATATACAATTTTTTGAAGTTCGAAATATCACTTCACAACCGTGACAGGTGCACGCTTTTAGGTTTTTAAGTCTCTTTACGTCACCACTAAACCGTTTTTCCATGGTAAATTGTATCATAATAATGTCTATTCTTGATACGTACATGAAACAAACTATTCTTAGATGTTTTGGTCTTTTGTAGGCAGTCTCACTGACATAAATTATTCAAATAGTATTCGAAAATCGAATGACCTTCGAGAACCGAATAATATTCGAAATTCGCATAACAAATGATATCCGATATTTGAATTTTATTTGATTCGAGAATTTCCATTTTCGGATAATATTCGGTAGCGAATATTCGAAGTTTTCAATTTTCTAGTGATCATCGGTAGTCGAATATTCGAGAATTTCGACTTTCAAATATCATCCGATATTCCAATATTCGAAAAAATTTCGAATTCCCGTAAGCATACTCTCTTGTCTTTTGGACTGCATATGTAGACCTCAACCGGTGCCGTTTGTGTAAAATGGACTTTGTTTCTCCATCTCCAGAAACTTCAAACCGACTATTGGAGCATTACTGGAGCCCATGTTAACGGTCCTCTTTGTCTCTTGTACGTTTTTGGGCGATACTTCGTCAATCAGATGATGAATATTTGAACTCGCAACGTACGCATGCATTGTGATTGTCGAAGTAGTGAGAAAAAGTTTAGCAAAATTCAGGTGATATAAATAACATCATGAACCTGCATGAGAGCACGTAATTAAATTGTACTAGGAGCATTGCGCTGTCGTTGCAACTGCTGCGGAAGTGCCTGCTAAATCGGTTGTTGCATGCACACCGTCACTTCCATTACAAATTTACGCTTCATGCAGAAGTCCGTTGTCCTTTCTGGCGTCATGGTCCCACGTAGAATCCTGTTTTCTGCGGTTACATCATTTCATAAAAAATTAAAATCCCGCTGTATTCTGCGTCACTTTTCCATGCTGAAGTTTCCTTAATTAAGGCTGTCCGTGATTTTAGGACTATATATATCATACAAGGAAGTTACTGCGCGATTCTGTCTGGTTAGGAAAGATGATGCAAAGCTTTATAAGGATCTCAGTACTTCGCGTTGTTCTGAAAACGATAGCCAATTTTTTGTTTTGATTTTTACTTCTACTTCTCCACTGGCAACTTTGATCCTTATCCATCGATTCAAAGGTGCTTTTATATATCATTCAACAAATAGCTGAACCTTGTAGAATTCACAAGTTGTTCTTTAAGATATCTTTTTTGTTCGAAATTTATTCATAAGTGTTGACTTCAACTACGAAACAAAGCGGAGCTTTATTAAGAAAATTTTCGAGCGTGTGGTCGCCTCCACGCTTTCTTTTATGAAAATTTGGCAATGTACAGCATATAGCTGCAAGTGAATGTTGAAGAAAATGTTCACAATCCGCAAGCAGAGCCCTACAGTCTAAGTAGATACCGCTCATTGACTACCACGAGATACCAAAATAAAGTGAGAGCATGAAATACGTATAGCGCAGTGGCGTACCGAGGAGGGGCGCGGGGGGGCCCTCGGTACGCCACTGCGCTGGGTCGAATGGGTCGCGAAATTTTTAAAAGTTGCTAGAATGCGTTATAAAAATGTGCAGGACTTGTTTTTACTTATAAATAATTAAAATAATCTTGAAAAATTTTTAAAAATTCAAATTAGCCTTGTAAAAATTTTTTTCGGCTGCCGCCACGCCCCCTTGGGGTCAGGGGCCCGGTAAAATTTTGGAAAACATCCCAAAAATTTTTTCGGAGTGCGTGGCTGACGCCATGCACCTTCATTAGAAAAAAATTTTTGTCGCGCCCCCCGAGCCGAAATCCTGGGTACGCCACTGGTACAGCGTGAAGCATGTTTTGCTTCTTCGACAAGACCACCAGAAGGCCGTCGTTTGATTCAATTCTGGTTATCTTCAACTCTGTTTGGAGTCAAGAAGGAATTTATCAACCACTTTTACTTGCACATGGGATGAATACTAAATAAATTGATTGGCATCAACCAAAAATTTAACCAAAATATGTACTTGTTAAATTTTGGTTATAGGTTGATTGCATAAAGACATGACACTTGTACACATAGGGGAGAAATTTAGAAATTTCAGGTTGACTATTTGAAACAATTCGGCTACTTGCCAAGCAGTGGAGCCGAATCACAGCTTACGAGCGATGCAGTCAGCGACGCTTTGAAACGATTCCAGCGAATGTTTGGCCTACCTCAAACGGGTGAAATGGATGAGGCAACGAGCAATCTTATGTCGAAAAAACGCTGTGGGGTCAAAGACGTACAGCGAACGTAAGTACTGTGGAAGTTCTGGTATGCATGCAATTAAAAGTACAATTTCAGCTTACGAGTGAAGCGCTCCTTGCCTCATCCTAGGTGGAAATCAAACAAATTTACCTTTCTGTGAGTTTCTCGCTCTATGCAAGTAGTATGAAAAGAATGCATGTTCAATTAGCAGCACTCTTCCTTGGCTTAAAGAAGAATATAATCGTATTAATCAACCTAGAATCTTAGGATGCTGCAAAAAGAGGGTTTGATAGATAAGTCATCAAAAAGCGTTTTGAATTATCGCAGTGCTGGCCATGTTGCTCCATTTACCATTTACCATCGAAATTGATGTCCAAAGTGTTATTCGCATATTAGGTGAAAACGGAAACAGCCCAACTTTAGAATGTTGGTATTCCTTTGCACAACGTTAATTTGGCGCTGCATCGTGTGCGAGAAAACGAGGGCCCTTGTAAATGCATTTTGAGGAGACTTCAGTTTTGAAAGAAGCTTCTCAACGGTTCTGGTGCTAACAAGGGAATGGTCAGAATTCGAAGTGGTTAATCCAAACAGGCTGCATACCATTAGATGCAGCATAAAATGTTGATTTCGAATCTGTATTCCATATTTGCTTAGCGCCGATGTGGGCGAAGTTATGAGCCGTTGAAAGCCGTAATTTTTGCTCTAAAAAATCGTGCATGCAAAGCGCAAATTTGGCAGTGCAGGGCTATGCTCGGCTTAATGCTGGCCCAAAACATGCAGCTAGTTTACTTCATGCTCGTAAAGCCTATAATTGAGCTGAAACTGCAACAATGTGCTCAATTTCGCAATTTAGGTATTTTTTCTGAATAAAACTACTCATACCTTCATCCACAAAGGCGATAAGCAGATAGGGAATACGAATTGAAATCAGCTTTGAATGCTGCATCGAATGGTAGGCAGCTTGCTTGGATTGGCCACTTCGACTTCTGACCATTCGTAAGCCATTCGCCCCTTTACGGGTCAAATCGGATCTGTAAAAGTTTTGTCTAGAGTAGAGGCAGTGTTAGCGCGTACGCAAGCATGGTTGTCGACGCTTGCATTGAAGTGATATGATATCATAATTTCTTAAGGTGATCGTAAAGTAGTGGGAAACTCAAACAATAGATGTGATTTTTCTAAACAGAATAAAATCAATTGGATGTCCAAATTTTGGGAGGTGTTAGTACTTATCAAAATCTTCTGATCGAGGTCTATAGATAGGCACTATCGCATAGCTTCGTATTTATAAAGTGCTCAAGATCTAAGCTTGTGTAATTTCGAACTTGAAGCAGCAACGACGCAAAAAAAACAAGTGAGGCTGCAAAAAATATATGTTCTGCAATGGGTTAGAGGACTGTCACCAAATCCACAATAGCCTGATGCTCCCAACGCTTGCAACAGAAAGTATAGCATTCAGTATACAGTAATTTCGACCCGCTTTAGGCGGAAATTGCATTGGCGGGCGTCCGCCTCGCAACGGTTCGCGCCGTTTCGCAGCTACAGTATATCATATCGCGCTGAGAACCCAAGTCTGCGTCTCTTCATTCTCATTAGTCTTTGCTTGGCAAAATGCCAGCGCCATGCGCTCGCGAAGCCTCCAGCGATGCGCACGCGCTGCTCCACGTAGAATGTTTCGCCTAATCCGAGGTGAAATTGACTGTACATATCTATTCTCTTAGGTGATCGAACGGCTCACCTTTGACGAACTCCACACGTACGCAATTTACCTCGAGAAAACCTCCCTTTAAAAAAATTGTGAACCAAACATGTTTTCTAGCCTGAAAATCTGCACCAATAATTGCACTTTTGCGGATAATCTGCCTCTTTTATACAAAATGATGAAGAATTCCTGCAGGTTTGAGCGATTATTAGAAAGAGGTTAGAAAGCACTTTCGAATGGTATGTCATATGCCCAGGGAAAGGGACTGCAGTACAAATTCGGATAGCGTTAAAAAAGTCTTTTTGAGGCGCCGCGCGAAGGATTGCAGGATATGAGCGCAAGTTGCTGCCAGGATAGCATGCAAAGATCACTTTATACAAATGTTATTGCTGGTTGTTTATTGTTTATCAGAAAAAAGTCATCGAAGTTGCAAAAGAATCGAAGTGTCCCATTACTTCGCGATCACCCTAATATTTCCTCTTACCACTTATGAGACAGCTTATATCACTGCGCTAATCTAAGTTTTGGCAGCTTGCCCAGCGTATGCAGGTTTCAAGCGTACTTTGCGTCAGTCTGAGCTTCCATCCATCGTCGTAATCTTGTTGAGATGAAACAAGAATCCGACAGCGTCAAAAACAACAATAATTTGCTTGAAATATCGTTTGAAAAGATTCAGCTCCGTTGAAAAAACGGATTCGATCTGAAGAGCGCTTTCTCGTGAATAAAGGCCCAATACACGGATTGCCGAATTTATTACCACTTTCACCAACTCAACCTCTTCATTTAATAAAATTTTGCAAAACTGTTTGTGTGAGCGGGTGCTTAGATGAAAGTAAGACATCTGCTGTCTTGCTTTTCTCAAAATAGAAAATGAGGTTCTATATGTTTTTGTAGTTGATGGTGAAATAGTTTTTATTGAAACATAGAGTGCGCGTTGCAGCTGAAATTCTTGCTCTTCGACAGCATTCTACAGTCCATTTGTTTTAACGGTTTCATAGGCCTTTTCTAATTTTTGATGTGATTAGAAATGATACGTTATGCAGAGCATCACTGCGTCACTACAAGTGGAATCAGCAATGAGTTTTGCTTGTTTAGTGGTTGCTCTCTATTCGATGTTTTTGCCAGCCATCGGTTGATAGTAGCAATTAGCCTATGCAGAAAACAGAGGAATATGACGACAGCTGCACAGTTCCTAGAAATTTCTATTTCAAAATAAAGCATCGGAATGATACGATTGAGCAGCTATGTGATCAAGTTGTCCGTAGTCTCTTCCTTGTTTGGAAATTTTGGTGATACAGTCCTTTTGCAGCTAAGTTGCCTACATTCAAGTGCTGCGGTTACTTCATCTTGTAAAAATAAGAGAGTAAGTTTTGCAACTAGTGCAGAATGTAAGGTATAGCAGTAACAGCGCATATGTTCTCGTGGTATGAAGCAACCACTCTGCTTATCTCTATTCCTATGGCAAATCTCCTGTTTTCATCCGCGATTTGAAAGGTGATGCTATAGAATATGTTTCTTCTAAACTTCGTGATGACCGTATAGCCTAACAATGCTTATCTGCTCTGTCTTCTTTTGATTTCCCTTCATCGGCCTCCTTCAATGATCCTTAGTCCTATGAATCCCGCTTTAAAGATTGTTTTTGTTCTGATCTTTACGACGTGTCCAAGGTGGCGCATAATGGAAACAATTCTCATCATTCCTGTAATATCATAAGATAATTATACTTGACACCTATATCTGTGCACGTTCTCGATCAAAGGTAAGCAAAAAGTCAATATTCAATTACTCTCTTGAAAGTCTGTCCTTGAAGTCCAAGAACGTCGTCTAATTCGGCGTAGTAAAAATAATAGTTCAAAGTTTTACGCGTGTATGCAGGGTATCCCAAAAAGGCCTGTTGATTTTTAATGATTCTCTTGCCTTGATATCTTTCGCCAACTTCATTCGATAAAGCTGGGAGCTACAATATGGAGTGAAATCACTGATCAATCCAATTACATGACAGGGTAGAAGCTTTGAACTTGTTCCTGATAACCAGAAAACGTTTGCAGAAATTTTTCCGATATGGTGAAAAGTCGTTTCAAGGTTTTTCAAATGCCGATTCTTTCACTTATCGTTTGAACAGGTATGTACGCCGAATCTCCTGTCTTCTGAAATTCATTGAACCAACGTTACACTTTGTCATGACAGAAAATAATAGACAGATCCACACCTAAAGGATCTTAATCTAACTTGGTTTTTTCACAAGAACAGGATGTAACAAGAAACAAAGCAAACATGACAAATTAACAAGATAGTTCACGATAATCTTGAGCTAATATCGCATGTCTTGTAAACGCAAAACTAAGAGCTGTGTATCTAATGTAGATGTTCAAAATGTGCACCACTCCTTTCCAGACATAGCCGACATCTTTCTGCAACTGAAACGCAAATTAGAGTGCCAACTGATACCTCACGACATTTCTCGATAGCAATTCTGAACCTTGTTTTTCGATTTGGCGACGTATACCCTATTTTCCAAGTGACCCCACAAGAAAATGTCCAGGGATGGGGGTGGGGTAAAATCAGGAGAAATGGTGGAAACCTTTTGTACTGCCTTTTCCAATCCACCTCCTTGAGAAATCGTATTATATCCTTTTCCTTTTAAGAAATGAGCGTGGGCTCCATTTTGGTAGACGTATTTCGTTGCATCTGGGGACATCTGCCTTACGCATGGTACAATTTCCCCAAAAAGGAAGAATGTCAGCTTGAATTAGTGTCGTTCCAAAAAGGAGAGATCCAATGAGCCCTGATGTTGAAAGTCCACACCACACATCAATTCGGGTAAATGATAGGTTTTTGATGAGTTTATGTGACATGTTGTGATTTTCTGAGGCCCTGTATGAGCAGTTATGCTATTCATTGTCCCACTTACATTGAATGTTGCATCATCGCTCCAGAGCGTTTTGTCCGTGAAAGAGCTTCAGAAGACGAGATCTCAAAGAAACATTTGCAAAAATGAACCCTGCAGAGTGCAGTTGATGCGGACTAATATTGAGATGTAGCTTCTCCGTTTGTATTGTTTGAGTATCCTTTACCCGGAAGACTTTGACAGAATCCCGGTCAAACGTAATTTAAACATCATCATCTCTTCGGATCCTTGCAATTGCTCTCTTCCTAAGCGTTTTTGATGACATTCAAAATCTTCAAATTTTCTCAGAATTGGGGCAATCGTAGCAATCTGGCGGCGGTGTCTGAATTCCTTGTGTGTACCATTTGCACTTTGGTGATTCGTCTTCACATAACTCTCCACAACAAATTTTCTCTGCTCAAAGGTCAACCTTGTTCTCTTCATCAGGCCAAATGCTTACTACCACTAATTAGCAGTCACAAAATTTCTCAAGCTACGCCCTCCATCTTTCAATTCTTTTTGAGGCCTATTTTGCTGTATCGCAACAAACATGATCGATTTTGCAGGAACTTCGCATTACGAACAAGAAAATGCCGTTTATTACCTGCAGTGATATGCGGCTCATAAAAGCACTGACTTGAAAACGGCTGGCCCTCGCAAGTCACTGTAATAGGCTCGCGCGCATACAACTGCCTCTTCGACTATGAAGTAGTGTGCGTTCGGCGCATGCCCGCAGAGGGTGTTAAAGATGCCGAATCCTTTGTCCTTCATTATATGCGGCTCTTTCCATGTGATCTAGAAATTCAACCGTAGGCCGCTGTTACAACTTATGTAACGTATTGAGAGAATCACGGTAAAGAAAATGTCTATAAAGGGGCTCACAAAACCTTGATGCAGGCGTTTTTTGACTGTCAGGGACTCAAAAACGAGTAAAAAAATTTTCCACTATACCCCATCAGGCGGAAAAAGTTATCGGTTTTGCTCTACAGTGTTGATATGAGCAAAACCCCCCACCTCTAACGAAAAATTTATCCGTCCTAGAATAGTAAATTAAGTAAATTAATATTCTGTATTCCTAAGCACACTGAATATCGTACTGGAGTGTAAATCGTCCGTATAACCCAGCAACCGTCAGAACACCGATGCTGCCAGCAAGCGAGACCTAGGTCCCGACGCGTAGTGCGAGTGAGCGCGCGACTCGAGATATGCGCACCTCCCTTCTTTGAGTTTTTTGTTGCTCCATCAGTCGACCTTCGCTGCTCAGGGTCCTCAGTTGATGGTTCTAGTTTGATGTCGTCGTTGTTGCGATGAACTTCTTGCTATTCCTGGGCTTTCTGTATCTAGGGCTCCAGATCTTTGAGAGAGTGGAAGGAAAACGATGGAGTAAACCATTAGTCAAGGGAATCGCAGAGGATGAGTCCTGTACTCAGTTGGCTAACCTAAAGCAGCATTTTTGCAGGTGTTCAAACTTTCAACGAAAAAAGCGAACAACTTAGTACAAGAACTAATTAACTAAAGCAATTTGGCTTGCCTTCTCGCGAAGGAATCCCAAAAGCGGTCGAAAACATGGTCTTTTGATCCTCCTGCTCAATCTCCTCCTTCCAATTGCAACGTCGACATCAAAGTTGCCATCTGTCCTGGCTTCATACTATAGCAAGTTTTCTGCAGTACATCCTATACAAGGAACGTTGCTGTTACACTTGGTCGTAGATGAGAAAAATGTCTTGATATGGCAAAATGTAGCATGTGTACATTGACCAAAACTCGGAAAGAAGAGAGAAAAAGAAGAAGTGAAAGGGTTACTGAAATCTCACCTTTCACCGGCTTCGTTGAAACTGGGCCTTCGGATGTCTGAGCGCTTCGTGTGCCACGCGGGTCTTTCCTAGCTGAGGTTGGGGCGTGAACACTGAATGAATAGTGAACGAATGACAGAACTAGGAACACCAAATCGGCTTGAAGTAGTCGCGGATAGCAACCGCCGTAGACACACACCTCAAACTTGGGTAATTAAACCCTTTATTTACCATTAATCAACAACAACAAAACATGCGAGACAAAAATACGAGGCGTAAAGCAATTCTAGTCTAACTTTGAGTATCATAATGAGCACCAGTAAAAGGATAAACACTTCACGGTAAGTATGAGGCACAATGACCTGAGTACACGAGAAGAAATAGCAAATAAACTCATCAAATAGCATATGAACGCTACTGAGTACTAGGGAAACAGCAAATAGTTGCAAAAAAGTGAACCGGAACCAATGAACCGAAAATATGGGCAAGTATGAGATGTAAACAATGAGAACAAAAGCATATGTGCTAGTATACCTCGGAGTTATGCAAGACTCAGTGACAGCAAGGTATGAATCAACGGTCGGCGAAGAAATGACGATTGAGAAGATCCGAAGTCGATCACTGTGCGCTGCCTAAAATACTTGGGTTTTGGCGCGCGAATTGATTGACAGGGGGTGCTGAGGCCGGGAGTCAGATCCGGCCTCAGCACATATTATAAATTAAAATTAAATTATAAAAAAACATAGACTGTTTACATTGGGAAAATGCCATCGCAGCAGCAAAGTGAAAGCTTGCGAGCAGCGTAGCGATGAACCCTCCCCACAGCTGAAGAAACCAACATGCCAGGAATTCTGTTCGGGACCTTCGTTGGCTCTTCAACCAGTAAGATTGGCGAGAGGGGAATTGCTCGTTAGCGCATTCACGCTTCTGAGTTTGCTTGGGTCTCGAGCAAGCTAGGTGCATTGTACACTTGAGATTATCTGTAGAGATTATCTGTAGAGTAGAAAAGCTGAGAAACAGGCGAAGAATGGAGAAACTGAGGAGCAAGCGGAAGGAAGCTGGATCTTGTGTAAGGTTTTTAAAATAAGATAGCCGTATCAACTACAGTTTCGAACCAGTTTCGGTATTCCTTCCATTATTTTCCACTTTGCAAATTTCCATTTTAGATGCTTTTGAACAATGAATAAGCACTTCATTACACTATCGGATATCCAGAAAAATAGCAATATAGTACAAGACTTACCTTAATTTCACGCGTATAAAGCGCGGGGATTTTTTTTACAAAGTCGACCAGCCCAGACACGCCAAGGGACTTTACAACCAAGAGACCCTATAACGTGCCGTATATTGCTTAAGAGAATCGTTGCGGTATAAAGATCTCTTTCCGGAATACAGTGAAGCGTCTGAGCGGCTCGCTTGAAAAATCGAAAAAGCGCGCCTTAATGCGCCAAATTAGGGTACATATTTTTCCTGACGTACCAAACACTGGATCGAGTATAAAGGCAGCTTGCTTGCAACCGTAGTTCACTGTTTGAT